GGTTGTTTATTAGAGGTGTTTTATAGATTGACCAGACTAAACCCGGATTTAGATAGTTCAAAGTGTGTTCTTTTCAAATTGATGAAACTTTTCTTAATGCTGTTCCATAACGACTGCACACGGGCTTGTAGTTTGATAATTATGAAGTGTGTTTGGCACACGGAGACATTCTATTATGACATGACACTGAGGTTTTAGATGAAAAAAAGACCAGGCTTTCTCGGGGTGTATTTAATATTCCGCTATCTGTAAAAGAAACGAAGATATCGGCTTTTAAAGTAGATGAAAAAACAAGGGTTAAAGTTTGTTGCTAAGAGATTTGTTGCTGTCGTTGCACGGGTGTTTGATTTGGACATTTATGTAGATAAGACTGGAGCTAATGATGACATGGAATTAAAGTCATTGATTGATTCGTACCACGAAAAAACATATTTTTAAGGGAGACGCTGACTGTACGATCGAATCGAAATGAGTTAAATAAAAACTCATGGCGAGAATATTCTTTCTATTTAAAAGAAGCTTTGTGCAAAACTTGTGTACTTTTAAGCGTTCATTAAAAACGGTAATTATGAGCACTTTCTTTATTTTACCGTTCAGAAAATTTTAAAAGATCAATAAGTGGACCAAACAAAAAATAGATAACATAAAAAATAGAGTATTATAGCAGCAAGTTTTAAATTTGTAATAGAAGAGACACGGAAAGATGTCATTCAGTAGATATTTATAGTAATGTTGATATTCATGATCTCACTCTTCAGGGGAAGCAACCCCAGTCAGGAAATTTTGTCAACTTATTCAAATTTAGAGTTCAAGCAGATAATCGTACGTTGCGATATCACTTTAATTCCTGTCGCGGTAATGCAAAGCATAATTGAGGTCATAACCAAAATGAACTAATACCTGCGACCAACATCTAAGGAAACGTATCGTTAATGAAGTATAGAAATAACACGGTTTTTTTGGTTTAGGCTAACGAAATGCTTGATGACATATCAGAAAAGTTCTTTAATTTTAATGGATGGGCAACAACGGTTTGCTTTTCTAAATTTGTTATCAACTAAATCCAACATGCATTACATATTATTCATAAAAAGAAGTTCTCAGCTTTAATGTAACACTAAAAATCTCTTCTTAATACTCAGTAATAAACCTTCCATAATTTTTTAAATTTTATAGTTGGTTTTAACCTTTCTTCTGTAAACCTGGGTATTTCCTGTCCGAACTACAACTGTTTAGGCAAATAATTTCTTCATTTTATATAAGAGAATATGTATGCAGAAATAAATTTTTCGATAATTTTATGATTGATTTATCAAGTTGAAGGTTTCGAACATTATCATGAATTGTTTATAAAATTTTTTGAGTGCATTAACAGAATGAAAAAACGGCCCGACCCGAAAGACCCACCTTTACAGAAGGAAGGTGCTAAAAAAACCGTTTACAGACGAAGGGTTAATATTTTGAAACAGATAACAGTTTATTCCTAATTTGACAACATGTGTTATATACAATTTTAAAGAAAACATCTTCAGCTTTTATTTATGTTCTTAAGATATGGGGTACCCCGTCGACTAATACCTAACAAAGGTGTGATATTCAAACTATACAGGATGTTTCTGTAAGTCGTGGCATACTTTTAATCACACACACTAGAGCGAAAATGATGACGATTCGTGTTAAAATTTTTGATCTAAACCCATAAATGGCTAAGATATGGGCTTTCAAAATTAAGAAATTTTCAAACATTGTTATCATAATAAATCGTTTAAGATCACTATTGAAAATATCGAACCACGGAATCAATGCTATACACGATTATCGTTGTTTATAAGAGTATGAATTTGCGGCCCATCAAAAATTCCTCTTTTTAACTTTTCTATACTGAGACCAGGAATTAAATAGCAAATATATTTGAAGCAATCGCCATCCCTATCTAGAGCTATAACAAAATGTTTTAATAGCCCAAGTTTTATATGTAGTGGCGGAAGAATGATATTTTCTCGACTCATCAACGGTTCATAAACGATATTTGCTTTTCCTACAGTCATGTTCATTCTCTATGGCTAGCCTTTCCTGGTCCAGTGTTCACTTTATGCACAACTGTCTCACAGACAAAGAAAACTACACACACTGACCACTGATGATGATGAAGTAGAGTTTTTCTAAAACAAGTTTAATATTATTCCTTAAGAGTAGTTGAGGTATCGAAATTGAAGCTAATTTATTATTAATTATGCATATTATTAATTATGCAGAAACACACCTTGCAAACTTTTTTATAAGCTATCTATGAAAAGTTGCTTGTTTATTAGTTGTTATACTCTTTTTGATCGTTAAAATATGGAAGAATATGGAAGAGTATGGAAATCACTTTCGCTATTGTTTTTTCTCTGACTATTTAAGATTTCCACATCATCCCAGCAATTGTCTAATAAGCAAACAAATACCTGTATTAGCAAATCTTCACTATGCAGCGATTGGTTGCTTAGTGGATTGTACGTTGGTGTAAATCAAAGAGCGTTTTTTGTATCGCTTTATACTTTTTACATTAACAGCACAAAAGTAGCAATCATCAAGGTGATTTCTTGGCTAACTCTGTCCATGTCACCGGTATTCCAAGCGGTAGCCCTTTTCGAAGTGATTACACGCAAGTTTTACAAACTTTGTGTGGGAGCCAGCATTTGTCTTGTTATCCAAGTTGTTTTCTAAAACATGCCCTATAAGTTTGTTGTACTAAATCATTTATGTTACTTCGTTGTTTTCTTGACAAAATTTACCACATATGTAGCAAAAATGGTCGGTGTTATTACACAGGGCTTCTGTGAAAAATTCATACATTTTATAACAATAACGCTCAATAAATTAAATAATATAATCAATTGGGTTTTTTAACACTGAAAAATTATGAAAGTGCTATTCGTTAAAATCGTGGGCAACGATAAGCATTTGTCACGTTATACTTCGAAAAAGAGACATTAATGAGGGAACGTTGTTAAAAAACCTGTATTTTTTGTAGAACGCTTTATCATGAGAACCAGAGTCAATTCAAATGAAATAGTGTGTATTGTATAGGCTGAGTACTTCATAATTATATGTATTTAAATTGACTCCATAAACTTATGCCGCAAGAAAAAAATGTTTTTTGTTCCCCTGTGTTATCTAATGACTGTTGTGCAATTGGTTACATCTTGTTTGCTGGGAGATGCATAGTATTAACCTGATAAAGTCTCTCAAATAATTTAGTAGGTGGAGAGTCACAAGACATTATCTGTGAGACTAAACAAATGCGGCGGACGTCTAGAAAAACAAACTCAATTTGATTTCTAACAACGATATGGCTTTTATCTCAAGAATTAAAACCGGTAGATGAGAATGATAAAAATATTTATAATGAGTCACAAAGATATAATCCATAAACGTTATCTTTCCAACACTTTCTCATTTTTCGTAATAATCCATTAAAACTCAAAATGTTTAAGTTAACGTTTTCAGATAAAAGTTTTGATTATAACATGAAAATTTAAGATGTTAGGAAAAGATATCGTGGATGAAAATTGTTTGTATTGAACCAATATAAAGCTATTGGCTTATTATTTTATAACTAAACAACGATTATTACAAAGCTAGCGAAGTTAGAACCCGAAACACCTTTAATTTGACACATTTAACAACATGGCTTTTATCTCAAGAATTTAAATCTGTGGATGAGAATGGAATTAATAAAAATTATTCATAATAAGTCATAAAAACATAATTCTTAACGATATATTTCGTATCTGGCTTTGTTTATGCGAAAAAGTAAAAACTGGAAATCTTAAAACCAATTGAATCTTTTAAAAATATTCTTTTAACAATTAATCGCCAAAGTATTAATAATTATAAACAATTTTAATCAATCTACTATATTTTATTATTATATTTAATTATATATTATTATATATTAATATATTTATTGCGTTTGATAGTAATTAATCGAAGCGTAGAAAGATATATAGTATAATTATTAGTTATAGTTCGATCAAAAACTGTTACACACTGTAATAAACACAATCCTATATTGATTGTTAATTAAACGGGTATACAGGTAATGATGTAATAAAAGGTGCATTGAAGAGCTCAATTTGGCTTGGAGAGAAGCAACGTAAATTCCCCGTTTGATGCGGTCGCGTAATTGTTGCGATTATCCGTTAAATTCCTACATGCCCGTGACGGGATTGTCAGAAACGAGGGTGCTCTAAATTAAATTGAAAACCAATTTCGACATTATCGAGTTGCGACGGAAAGTTTTATGGGACTCCCGTTTCAGAACTAATTGGAAAATGTCGTCGAGAAGTTAACGGGTGTAAACGAGCCGAGCTTCCGTTATATTTTTCATTATAAAAGTTCAAAATAAACAGTATTTTTGTCATAACATGAAAGTTATTTTCTTTTTGTAACTCCTATTTGATTTTTATTTAATATTTGTGTGCAATACTAAAGTTATAAAGGGTTGCAAAAACAATTAAAATATTTTTATTGAAATGTTCTCTTTGTTCTTTTGTTGTAAATTTAAAGGAATAAATAATTGAAACGTCATTGAATTGATATTTTAAATCCAATAAATAAATGTATTACATTTTTAGTGTTTAAAAGTTTATGTTATAAAATATTTTTAATTGCATGAGCATTAACCGTCATATATCTTCGTTAAACCGTTGAAGCGTATTTTTCCCACCAGGCATTTCAAAGCAAAACGTGTCAAATTAATTCCGATTAAATTTGTGTTTACACCTGCCTCGATATTTTATGGGTGCATTTTATACATTTTTTAGTTTAACCATTGATTTAGTACAAAAATAGCCGGCTCCTCCGCCATTTTTGAATTTAAACTCAAACAAAATTGATCTTATAAATTTTAAAAGCAATTTTCACACACATCGTAAACACACACAAATACACACATCCAAACTCATGCATCATGCATAAAAAACATCGCTCTAGCACGTTTCCATTAACTTTACCTAAACATTCGCTCGCGAAACTTTTGATCACCGGAGCGCGACGTTTCCCTCGGGCACAACCAAAATTTCTCCAAAAAGAAGTAAAAAGTTACAGTAAAAAAAGATGTTTCGAATTTACTTGATGTGTTATAAAGTCCGTGCACGTTACATTGATATAAAGAATACAGGTGTAATTTTCACGATTTCCCCAGACCCGACGCTTTCTTTTAACTTGTTTTCTCGATCGCGCGAAGAAAATCTACGGGGACTATTCTCCCCGGTTAGTTTTATTTCGAGAATCGGCGCAAAGTTACGGAATTTGAACTGATTCACGTTGAAGAGTAAACCGCACTGAGATGCGAAGCGCCCTGTGCGGAGAAACTCCGAAACAACGGCGCTTGCGTCGTTATTGGCATGACACTGTTGCTGCTGCTACTGCAGAGCATTGTCACGACGTACCCTTAACACTTTACAAGAAGGATGACAATACCTGCAATTTCAGCACTTCTTTTATATTCTACAATTGTACCTTTGATTTTTTAAATATTAATTTAATTCCTTCAACAAATCTATTGTATTTAGAACACTGTTAAGAAGAAAACTTTATTGTTAAAATCATAATTTTAATATATTTTAACATACAAGGGCGTATCTGAATTACTTGGGCAAATTTCAGCAATGTGGTGTATGGAGTAAAACTGTAAAAAATGTTCTTATAAACATATATCTAAAAATGGTTTTAGACTAGAATACAAAAATTGTGATTAATTGGTAACAATGTGTATTAATACAACAAGAACAAATTTCACATCCTTTATTTAGGATTTTGCTATTATTAGACGTTAGAATAAGTGCTGAAAATGTCCATTTTCGAACCATTGATTGATGAACTCGCTCAAGTATTCCGAGCTATCCTGGACTGCCCAAAAATTATGACCGATTCGGTCGCCCACTTCGTCTAAAGTATGAATCGGTGTAGAGTACACAAGTTGTTTTAAGTGGCCCCATAAAAAAATCTATCGGAAAGTAATCTGGAGAACGTGGTGGCCCGCAACTGGCTCACCTCTGCCAATCCAATGATTTGGAGAAGTATTATTTAAGCGCTCCCTAGCAACAAAGCTGGAATGTGGTAGAGCACTATCATGCTTGAACCATAAGTCACTTCGTCTTGCCAACGGAACCTCATCATGTAAGTAGATCATTTTCCAAAAAATTTTTGTAAATTTGCGCATTTATTTTGCATCTGTCTGGAACTAAGAGTATACCAAACAAAACAAATCCTGGAAACTAAAGATAACGAAAATAAAGGATGAAAATGGGAATATAGCCTGAGACAGAACACGAATTGTAAAACTCTATGAAATTATATGCTTCTGCCATACCAAAACTGGAAACTGGGATCAGAGAGGTTTTAAACGTCGGTGCCGAGGATCTTCCTGAAATGTCGATATCCGACATTAGACATACCGTTCGACAACAGAAGAACAAAATTGGGAGGTAATACCATTGAAGGAGGCCTAAAACTGCTTTTAAACAAATGCCTGCCATTATAGACCTATAGGTTTATCACCACTACAACTTACTGACTAGAATTATAACATATCGTTTTATAATAAAACTAGGTTCATATTAACCAGTGAAGCAGACCGGTTTCCGGCAAGGTTTCAGTACTGTAGACCACTTGCAATCTATAAGAGCACTAACAGAAAAAAGACAAAAAATATAATGTCCCTTTACACTTAGCATTCATCAACTATTAGAAAGCCTTTGATAGCATTGAGGTTTGGTCATTTCTGGTAAGTACTAGAAGTTGCTAGAATAGATTCGCGATACACTGCCATCATCAAAAATATCTATGAACAGGCGACCTTTCACATCAAAATAAATGAAGATACAAAAAAAAAAGAAAATATAGTAATGGTAACGGCGTTCCTGCCGGACTGAAAATATTTCGCCCAAGTTGTTGGCCTTGGAAAATATATCTAAACAATTGGATTGAGAAAATATTGGCCTGAATGTGGATGGTGCACCCTTAAATCACTTAAGGTTCACAGACGATGTGGTACTAAGCAGTTCAGACATAGAGGAACTGGAAAATATGTTACAAGATTTAAATGAACACTCAAAGAAAATGGGACTAAAAATTAACCTCCATAAAACCAAAGTAATGACCAACAATCAAAATGATGTTGCCATTGACAACGTCTCCTTAAAGAATGTAACCCAGTATATATATCTTGGTCACATTATTAAAGTTAGCAAAGAAAATCAAACAGCCGAAATAAAACCACGAATTCAATAATCATGGGGAATTTAGAAAATTCGGTATTATATTGAAAAACAAAAAAATACCGAGAAACCTAAAACGAAAGGTGTATGATAGCAGCGTACTGCCAGTGACAACATACGGACTTGAAACCATGACCTTGATAAGGAAAACTGCAGAACAACTTCTGGGAGCCACTCTGAGAGATAAAATAGCGACATTCACAGAAGAACATGAGTATAGTTGTTATTAGTTGATTGTGAGGCTTAAGTGGCAATTGGTCGGGCTTGTGACAAGAGAAAATGCAGAAAAAAGTACACTAAGAATAACCTATTTTGGAAACTACGAAAAACTAGAAGAGGTGCAGGAAGACCGCAAAAGGGGGGACCGATGATGTGAAAACTGTGGTGGGGAAAGGATGGATAAGAACAGCAAAAGTCAGAAATAAATGGAAACATTTTGAAGAGGCCTATGGCTGAATACAGGCTGAGGAAGAGAAAGATAAAGAGAATCTGTCTGGTAAAAACATTGGTCCTATTAAATAATCTCCAACAACGTTAGTCCAGATGTTACATGAAAAACTTTCTTGATGTCTTGATCGTCTAATTGCGTGAAGATTTTCTGCAGTAAATGTTGCTTCGTCCATAAAAAAACACAAGGATTGGAAATTCGGAGTGATACACTGCTGTAGAAGCCAGTTACAAAATAGCATTCGTGGTCGAAAATTAAGACCTTGCGCTCGCTCTACGCGGTAGTGTACTCTGTGAAGCACCTACTTCTACAGATAATTTTCTTGTACTGGTTTTAGAATTCTCCGCATTTCGTTAGTAAAGTTCATATCTAGTTTTCAGAATGTAACACCGTTTTTGTCTGACAATTAATTGTTAAGAAACAAAAAGGTAATACCTAATTGGACAACAACCAACTCGATTACTCGGATAAATGGTTGAAATAACAACCCAATTATTAGCTTCTATTAAATTTTGAAATTCACGCGTAACTTTTTAAAGAAGCATTTTTAGACACATGTTTATAAGAACTTTTTTTACAGTTATTTCTATACATCACGTTGGTGAAGTTTGACCCAGCAATTCAGATTCACCCTGTGTAATGTAATTACATTTAATAATTAGGGATTAATATTTCGGTTTTCATTCTTTAATTTAATGAAGTTTAATTATTTTGTATTTAATCGGTGGTTTCCATAATCATCAAATTTAATTTAATTTCGTACTTATTGATTTTTTGGTTTTCATTATAAAGCCCCGCTATGATTATTATCACGACATCAGAGTACTCCAACAATGCATGGATTATAATTATAAAACCTCAAATTGTATTCATGAATTAATTCCTTGAATTCTTCCATTATTCGGTTTATAATCCATCTATTGTTATTTTTTATGTTTTTACATCCCTTTTGTGTTTAATATAATCTTTCGGAGAAGTTATTGAAACCTTTTTAATATATTTATGAGAAACTAGTGCAGTATACAACGTGCAATGTGTTGTAGCTTCATGTGAAAACTTTAGATACCTTTCGAATTCCCACTAGTGCAATATTTCATCTGTGGAAGTTTTCGAAGCGACAACGGTATGACATCGATTTTTAAAAATCGATTTTATATAACCTAGAAAGCTTCGTTTACATACTAAAATACTTTTTTTGGTGATTTAAGCTCATTTTATTCTATAACACTGTGTTTATACAACGCGGAATTAATCAAAACGTAACCGAATTACAAATAATTATGTATTCAACATTTAGTAAATTTCAACATCAATCTAATATTTACAAAGCACCTATTCAATTACGTTTATGCGTAAATGGGTCAATTCATTTATCCAGACAATACCTAAACGTTTTTTCGGAGTTGCATGAAAGTTGTTATTAAGATTTAATGTAATAATAGATTAAAACTTGATATAATTTCTGAGATTAGATTCATACCGGTACAACTTAAAAAATTGGATTTCAAACATGAATGGCCATATCACCATTAAATAAAAACAATTTAAAAGCAATTTCGTTAATATTTAATGAGTTAAAAATTATTTCGACTTTCCTACAAATTGTTATGCTATTTTATTGAATGTATGCATATATTATGATAAATTTAACAAACTTTGAAAAATTATATCTCAGCAAGTAATAGAGATATTAAAGAGAGAGATTAGTAGGGGAATCGACAGATTAAATACGGCACTGGTGAAAATGATTTTAGACAAAGCAAGGATTTTATTACTAAGACTTAAGGGAATACTGAAATGGAAATAACTCCAGAACTCGTGGAAAATAGTGATTGTGCGGAAACTATCCCAAACCCGATGGAATATTCACATCCCGAAAACTACAAGGAACTAAAAGGAGAAGTACCATTCTTTTGGCAGGGTTATCAAAAATAGCGAAATGAATTTTGCTGGAATGACTGCAAGATGATGTCGAAAAAATGGCATCTCCTGCAGCCCTCTTTAGGAATTTGAAAACGTAGAGGAACTGTACCTAAAGTAGTACCTAAAGACAGAAATTGAAAGATCAAAACTTCGTATACTAACTATATTGAAAATGCGTCAAATAAAGCTAAAGCTACGTTGACAACCATTAATGCACTCAGGGGATGTAAAAAATCAAATAATTATTTTGAAATAAACGTATTTCGACCAGTGTATGAAACTGATATAGATATACTTAATGCTGCTGATGCATATTTCATAAATAGTGTAAAAATTTCTAATACGGTTCCCTTAAGAGTAAGAAACTTACAAATATCTAAAACTTTCGCATTTTATTTAGGTGATGCAATAGAAGTTCAAAAAATAATACAATGTTTAAATGATACAAAGGCGGTAGGCTTTGATGGGATTCCGGTGGCCTTATTAAAGTTCTCTTCTGATGCTCTCTCTGAACCATTGAGTAATGTTATCAATTTGTCCTTTTCTATGGGCGTTTTTCCACCAAGCCTTATAATACAGTAATTAAACCATTGTATAAGAAAGGAGATCTATCGGTTTTTTCAAACGATCGTCCTATTGCGTTGATATCAAATATTGCAAAAATATTTGAAAAA